CACCTGGAAGTGGGGGGGGGTATATTACAATGACACCTGGAAGTGGGGGGGATATATTACAATGACACCTGGAAGTGGGGGGGAATATATTAAAATGACACCTGGAAGTGGGGGGGTATATTACAATGACACTTGGAAGCGAGGGGATATATTAGGCAGGAAGTGAACATTTTGCCCCTAAAGTTGATGTGTTGGAAGCAGAAATAATGTACAAGTGGGAGGATCTGAGTAACTTTGACAAGAGCCAAATTGTGATGTGTAGACGACTGGGTCAAAGCAAACTCCAAAACTGCAGCTCTTGTGGGATGTTCCCGGTCGGCAGGGGTCAGGACCGACCAAAAGTGGTCCAACGAAGCAAAACCGGTAAACTAGCAACAGGGCCATGGGTGGACAAGGCTCACTGATGCACGTGGGAAGTGAAGGAGGCCCCACCACAGGGACTTAAATAATCTGCTGCTAATGGTTTGTAGCAGATTACCTGGGGATACCACAGCACACCTTCAGAAGTCTAGTGGAGTCCATGCTTTGATGGGACAGAGATGTTTTGGCTGCAAACAGGGACCTAGTCAATATAAGGTGGCTGGTCCTAATGTTATGGCTGATCAGTGTACATGCTTTATGGGACATAGAGGTTTGAATATGATGCACGGGTTTTCAGCTGTCTGAGGAATACTTTGTTGGCTGTTTTTGGTAGACATCTTTTAATAATAATTCATCTCCACGTGTATATTCAGAATGTCCATATTTGCTCATAAACTAAGATATGTTGTTGTACTTTAGGATTGCACTTAGTCATCAGTGGCAGTCACATATTAGAGGTTTAGATGTTTTTCTTTTAAGTGTTCTAAACCTTCTCAACCAGAGATTAGCAGAACGATTTCCCAATTTCTGGCACGTGATGGCGTATGATCATCATGCTAATGTTTACATGGTGAGCACGGGTCTTTGCTGACAAATAAAGGCGTTCAGATAGCATTAGGGTTAGTATTAGAGTAAACATTATCGATAGAATTTGGGTTCCTTTGTTCCCTAATATCTCATATCATCATATTCCCAGGCAGGGCCA